AGGTATTTTTATGGCTATTTAGATTACCTATATCTTTTCTCTTTAATTTAAAAAAAATTGAGATGTATTTGATATAACATTAGTTTCAGGTATACAGAATAATGATTTTATATTTGTATAAATTGTCAAATGATTCAATAAATCTAGTTAACATCTAACATCATGAGTAGTTATAAATTTTTTCTTGTGATGAGAATATTTAAGATTTAGTCTATCAGTTTTTAATATACAATACAGTATTAATATTATTAACAGTAGCAACTATGTTGTTCATTACTTCATCGCAACTTATATTATAATGAGAAGTTTGCACCTTTTGACTACTTTCCCTAATTTTACCTGTCCCCCACCCCTTGCCTCTGGCAGCCAGTAATCTGCTCTCTGTATGTATGAGTTTGTGTTTTTATATTCCACACACAAGTGGGATCATATAGTATTTGTCTTTCTCTTTGTGACTTATTCACATTATAATGCTCTGAAGGTTTAGCCATTTTTTTTGCAAATGGCAAAATTTTCTTGTTTTTATGGCTAAATAATATTCCATTTCTGTGTGTATGCATGTCTTAAATTTTCATTTCAGTTATACCTTTTTAAAATATTAAATACCTTTTTAATACTATACCTTTCTAAAATTAAAAAATTTTTCCTGAATTGATGTCTTCTACTTGGTGAGACACCATTGTCATACTTTCCTTTAATTCTTTAGACTTTATTTTACTCTTGAACATATTTAAAAAGCCAATTTAAAGTCTTTGTTTATTATGTCCAAAATCTGGGTTCTTTAGCAACATTTCCTGTTGGCTACTTTTTTCTCCCCTGTGTATAAGGCATAATTCCCTTTAGTTCGTCTGTCTCAATGTTTGCTGAAAAATGAATATTTTAGGTAAGTATTATAACAACTTTGGTATCACCCCTCCCCCTTTACCCACAGTTTATTATTGTAATTGCTGCTTATTTTTTTGGTGACTTTCAGGGTGAATTCTGCAGATTCTGTGTTTTATGCAGTACTGGATCACTGAATCCTGTACTGTCTCTTGGTGGTGGTCGTTGTTCTTGTTTCTATGTTAAGTCCGGCTTCCTAATGGTCATCCTGGGTCAGTATAATTAATCATTAACAAATACCTGGTTGGAAGATTTTTAAAAATGGCTTGCTTGTATGTCTTCCACCATTGGACAAGGGGATCAATGAGGGGGACCCCAAAAACCATTACTTATAAAAGTTGTGTGTTTATTCTTACATGTTTAAACTTCAATCACCCTCAAAGTGTGAAGGATGGGGTAGAGGCTGAGAAGCCCCATGACCACTCAGAACTAAAGGATTATGTCTCAGTTTTCCAAAATTTCCTCTAAACTTCTTGACTGGGTTCTAATTTTGTGTCCCTTAATTAAATCCCAGCCTCAAGCAGATGTGACATTTCCAGCACGTTACTATTGTTTTGGTAATGCCCCAGGGTTGGACACTCTGCACCTCCCCCTTGCCACCACCCCCCTGCCCCAGGTAAACTCAGTCAAATTAAATAGACACAATACCCTGGGAATATAGATTGCCCAGTGAGCTTCAACGTAGGACAAAATATTGGCTATACTCAGGGTACAGTACTTTTAAAGCAGCTGCAGAAAATTTCAGACATCCCCATTAACTATGAGGCTCTTGGCTTTTCCAGCTACTGTACTAGCGAGGTGGGTGGAAAGGGGTTAAGAGAATAACCCTAAAGTAAAAAAAAAAAAACCCACACTATTTTACTGAGGTTGATTAGTGTCCCTGGGGTGGTGAATTTCTATAGTACTGTAATGGTTGATTTTAGGGCTTTTCCCCCTAGTTATTTTCATGGGTTTTGTAGGAAAGTTCACCAAGGTCCTCAGTCTACTATCCTGGAAGTCAACCTTTATATAGCTTTTTAAAGTCTGCTCAGAACAGCTTGAGGTAATACATGACTCACTAGCATAAATACCTGAGGCGAGTGGGTTGGGGAGCTGCTGCAAGGAGGTATTTCAGCTGGCTAAGACTGTCCTTTGTTCCATGAGAGCTGGAGAAAGAGAAATCTACAAAACTCTGGACATGACATACCTCAACAACTGATCACCGTTACTTTAGCCTGAGTAGTAGAAGGGGGCACATAATTAGCTACCTTATTTATTTTTATAGCAGATGCTGTTATAACTGTGGGTAATATCCCCATTGCCTATTAATACTAGCAGTCGTGACTGTGGTGAGGAGTTGTCAGGCTCGATTATGACTTCCTGATTCAAATGCCTACCATACCTCCTAGTTTTTCTCTTGGAGCTCTGGAATGTCAGTCTGCTCAAACAGTAGCAGCCCAGGAAAAAAAAAGGGGAGTTGAATCCACAAAGGATCACCCTTATCAGTAGAAAATAGGAGTCAGGGTATAAATGCCCCATTCTTTCAATATTCAGAGGGGCAATTGAGAAGGTACCTTTGAAAAGTGGAGGCTATAAAGAGCCTTCCCATACAGTAGGAGTAACTGTGGACAGGTGGCAACTCCTTAGTACTGCCCAGGTGAGGATGGTAGGTAGGTAGAATAGGTAGTGAGAGCCATACTGAGGGATGGACAAGGTGAAGACTGACAAGAATGTAGGGATCAGAAGTAAGCAACAATAGTCTGGTGGTGGTCTGTATGCCACTTTACAAGATACTTCATTTTGTAAAAGTTTCTACCCATTAAGAAGTAGGTACTATCGTCTAGGTCCTTCATGTCATCTCAAATGGTAAGATCTCATTCTTTTTATGGCTGAGTAATATTCCATCATATTTTTGTATCACATGTTCTTTATCTAATTGTCTATTGATGGGCATTTGGGTAGCTTCCATAATTTGGCTTGTAAATAATGCTGCAATGAACATAGGGGTGCATATATGTTTTCAAATTAGTGTTTTGGATTTCTTTGGCTATGTTAACTGTAATTGAAAAGAAGAAGTAGATATTAGAGCAAAGATTTCACCTTGGCAAAGAATATAGTGGACTTGGGGAAGAATCATGAGCATTTGTTGGGAGAACTGTGTTCATTTTAGGGAGGATGCTCAGCTGCCTTTAAATTATAAGTAACAGCTGTTTGAAGTTGCCACCTGAAAAACCACATTGTTCTGTGACAAACAACACAACTGAAAATGTACTTTCTAATCTAAACCATTTACAGACTTGCCATTTTGCAAAAATACTTCATCATTTTATACATAAAGATGAAGCCAAAATATGGATTTACTTCTTTTCCAATGTATTTGTATATGCAGTGAAAAGTTCAGGTAGCAATTAGAAAATAGAAACATAAATAAATATAGACCCACTCAACCTCTTCTAAAGAAAAAAATACAAACAGGATGCACTTTGCCTTAAAAGGCTGTTATATGTGTAGGAGGAACTCAGCAACTTTTAATCTCAATAAATTAACTTGTGGCTGATAGGATTTTCTTTATACCATGGTTGATTGGAATGAGAAGATTTTTGTCCTTCAAATAAAGATTGTCTAGGAACTCCTAATGCCCTTAAAATTGGAAGTTCCCAGGGAGACTAAGTTCTGTTTGTCCACACAGCTACACTTCTTCATCCTGTCTCTCTCCATCCTTCCCTTACACTTCCTGTCCCTCCCCTTCAGATATTATTTTTTGGGGGGGGCATTGGGATCACTTTCCAATGCCCCCCCAAATAAGACAATATGTTCCACTGACAATGCTCACGACTTTCTTGCCTGAGAAATTACCTGATGTATCAATAAAATTAAACCAAGGCTTCTTTAACCTGTGACTGTCCTGTGTTGCTCCTTTTCTTAGTTCTGGCTTCCTGGCTACTGTTAATCTTCATTTTTTTGCAATTAAAATTCATGTTCCAAGTTCCAACTAAAATTACTACTGGGCCACAGGTAAGATTCTCAACAAAAACAATGTGAGGAACATAGAGAAACTGACAATTGGAAGATGATGTTGCCTTTCATGTGAGCTTGTCTTCACACACTGGCTGTATCCTAGCAAGCTGCTAGGGACCTTCCCCTGATTCATTTGCAATAGAGTTTAATGTCCACCTTTCATGTCATCTCTATTTTTTAAAAAATGTATTCTAATCCTTTTACTTTTTTCTAGGTTTACAAACCTACTTCTTCATCACCTACAGTTGGAATTCTACACCCAGAACAGTTGATGGTATTGTTGGTGATGGACCACATGTTTTCCAATCTTCTAATAAATAACTAATTTGAACAGAGTTTTCTTAGGTAAGGCTCAGCATGCTACACAGGTAAAGAACCTTCCCAGTGGAGTTGCTATCCAAGAGATTACATTTTTTAACTAACCGGGATGCCATTCGATTTTCATTCCCTGGGTGATCTTTGATGTATAGTATGTATTAGTTCAGAGATCTATCATATACGTAAAACTCCTCAATATACAATTAATTTCCAAGTGGTTTTACATCATTATAATTCTCTTATGAGTAGAGAGAAGAGAAAGTTTAAGGTAACTCTAAACTTGTTTCTCAAATAGACCACATTACCTTTAAAAATTTTTACATATTATAAACCTGTATAATTAAATTGTACATGTGTTGATTTCTTCACAGTAAGTACTTAAACCTTATTTATTTTTATTTTAGTTTTGTTGAGAAAAATGATATAGTTTATGTAAGTTTAAGGTGTACAGAATAATGACTTTACTTACATATATCATATATTGGGATATGATTACCACAATAAGTTAACAAACATCATCTCATATAGTTTAAAAAATGTTTTTTTCTCCTTGTGAAGAACTCTGGTATGTACTTTCTCAGCAACTTTCAAATAGCCTTTACAGCAGTGCTAACTACAGTCATCGTGCTCCGCACGTTACATTCCTAGAACTTAACTATATTATTCCTTTTGACCACCTTCATCCCATTCTCCTACCCTGTCCCTGGTAACCACAAATCTGATCTTTTTTAATGAAGTTTGTCATTGTTCCACACATAAGTGAGATCATATGGTATTTGTCTTTCTCTCTTTTTTTTTCTGTAGTACAGATTGTGAACGCAGTCCTCTAGCACCACAAATTATGCAGTTAGGTTTCCCACATTTGGGAAAATTGCAGGGGTCAGCACACTCAGAGTGCAATGGACACGACTTGCCCTGGGAAAACCACTTTCATGATCAGGTATCTCACCTGCCAGGTTCAGTATCTCTGTGACTTATTTCACTTAGCATAATGACCTCAAGGTAATTATATTGTTGCAAATGGCAGGATTTTCTTTTTTAATGGCTGAATAGTATCCATTATGTACACATATGTAGACATATATGCATATACACGCACAATATACATAAACACTAAATTTACTTTATCCACTTATCTGTTGAGCTAACTCTTGACCTAGTGATTTTATTCCCTTCAGCTATATACCCGGAAGTAGATGCTGGATCACATGGTAGTTCTATTAATTCTTTGAGAAACCCCCATACTAGTTTCCATAGTGGCTATACCAGTTTATAGTCCTACCAACAGTGCATGAGGGTTCCCTTTCTTCTCCATTCTTGCTGGAATTTATTATCTCTTGTCTTTTGGTTGGTAGCTCTTCTAACATGCATGAGGTGATAGTTCACTGTGGTTTTCGTTTACATTTCCCTAACAATTAGTGATGCTGAGCACCTTTTCATGTACCTGTTGGACATTACTATATCTTCTTTGGAAAGTGTCTATTCAGTTCCTTTGGATGGTTTTTTAATTAGATTATTTTTATATGTGCTCATATAGTTGTTCCTAATAGCCTGGTTCCTTGTTATCTATAGTATTATATTTCCTCTTTTATTTATAATTTTGGTTTGGGTCCTATTTTTGCTTTGATTAGTTTCACTAAAGGTTTGTCAGCTTTGTTTTCTTTTCGAAGAACCAAGTCTAGTTTTTAAATTTTCTTGGTCTTTCATTTATTTCTGCTCTATTACTTCTTTTCTTCTGCTAACTTTGCTATTAGTTTGTTATTCTTTTGGTTCTTTGAAGTGTAGAGGTAGGTTTACTTAAGATTTTTTTAAATGTGTTTATTGGTATCAACATCCCTCTTCCAGCTGCTTTTGTTGGATCCCATAAGTTTTGGAATGTTGTATTCCCATTTTCATTTGTCTCAAGATATTTTATTTCCCCTTTTTTGATCCTCTGATTAAGAGAAAAATTAAATTAAAAAACTTTTGTTTAATTTTCTCTATTTTGTGGATTTTATCCAGTTATTTACTTCTAGTTTTTTACTATTAGGGTCAGAGAAGATACTTGCTATGATTTCAGTGTTCTTGAATTTTCTAAGACTTTTCATGTGGCCTGACGTATGGTTTATTCTTGAAAATGTTTTATGTGCACTGGAAAAATGTGTATTCTGCTCTTGTTGGAAAGTTCTGTATATGTCTGTCTGTATAGGGCTTTTTGATCTATAGTGTTGTTCAAATCTGCTGTTTCCTTAGTGATTCTCTGTCTGGATGATCTATATTTTGTTGAGAGTGGATTATTAAAGTCTCCAACTATTATTATATTGCCATTTATTTTTCATTTTATCTATGTTATTTTTGCTTTATATATTTATTTGCTCTGTGTTGGGTGCATAAATATTTACAAAAGTTATGTTCTTGATATATTGACCCCTTCATCAATTTATGATGGCATTGTCCTTACTATTTTTAGTTTAAAGCATATTTTATAATGCTTAAAATATCTTTTTGTATTTCTTACACTTTTGGTCAATTTGTATGCGTCAAACCAAAGAACTTGGTGTACGGTTCTGCCTAATATCCTCAAACAAGGGCCTTGCCATCTATATGGGTCCCTGTCTTGGAAAGTGATTTGCCTCCCAATGCACTTCAGAACCCTCAGCCCACCTGACAAGAGGACCTAACCAGAGCATATAAGGAGCTAACTCTTGTCTGGGGAGATAATCAGGCAGACCTGTCCATCAAACTCTCTGGCCAGATGAGTAGAGCCATTGGACAGGCTCTGAGCTCCAGTGCTGCTGGGTCGAGCAGTTTCCCAGGTGCTTCAGCAGGAGCAAGGCCATGAATTAGCTCCATTGTCTATTGGGGAAGCAGAACTGGCTCCAAGGCCAGAAGAGTTCTTTGGGATCTTGACTCAGAGCTGTGCCCTAATTTCTGTAGCCAAATAGGGGTATGTGTTTTGCTCTAAGCTGGAAACCACAGAAAGAAAATTGTCTGAAAACTGTTTTGATATGACTAATGCACTCTGGTCTTCTCTAGGTAATGAATGCCTTATAAACACTTCCTTGGCTTTTCCAGTTTATTCCATTGCAGAGTCAGTCTTATTTATTCCCTTGTTAATAAATATAGCTTGACTCCACTGCAGATCATACCTAAAACAATATTTTCATGTAGCTCTAACTACATTAAAAATCAGTCTAATATACCTTGAAAGCTTCAATATGTAGTTCTTCAAAAAAAAATCACTGGCACACCTCTATGACTACCTTTAATATCAAGGTCAACCCTGAAAAAGAGATAATTTGTTTGGGTAAACGTGTTTTTCATGTGGAAGGGCTAATACACATGATAAAGTTTCACCCTCTCATCATAGACATGTTTCACCATATCCAGCAATTAACCTGTTTGTCCTGGATTTTATCCTGCAGGAAAATGACATTTTTCATGCAGTTATAAATGGGAATAAGTTGTATGTGTGCTGAGTCCCAGGCACCTGAGGGCAGAAGGAAAATTTCTAATGGGATACATCTAACAGAGTGCTTTCCAGACTCTTATGTTTATGGTAGATTCCAAAGACACAAGTCAATAGATCACAGATATAATAGCAATTCTGCTGTTAGTTCAGAGACAACATTACATCTGATAGTTCAGAGACAACATTACATCTGATAATTCCTGAGGTTCTAGTTCAAGATGGTGACACAGGAAAGATTCCTGAATTGACCTCCTGCAATAGACACACCAAATATATAGCTACGGGCAGAAAAGTTTACCTTGAAAAATATCCATGAGCTAGTTGAACAAGTTCTGTACAAGAAAAAAACCCTTCATGAAACAGATAGGAGAGGCTAAGACACAATTTCACAATAAAACCTACCTTTGGTGTTATGGGGAACTCAACTCCCAGCTTCTCTCTGAGAAGTGAAGGGTTTGGGCCTCATAGACTTGGTACCCCAATGCTTAAAACAGTCACCTACAGTTGGGCCCCAAAATACCTAGTTCTGAAAGCTATTGGGGCTCATATTCATGAGAACCTCAAGGCCATGGTGACATAAGAGATAGCAGAATGACATGCCCAGCCATTTCATGAAAGAGACCTATTTGCTTATCTAAAAAGTTTCAGCCTGAGAAGCACACTTCTAATTTCATACACATCTAGGGGCTGACTACAGTACTTTCCATAGACTGGGGAGGCTGTTTGATGCCATCATTATGGTCTCCCTCTGCCTTGCTCCAGATAACCAGTGTCACCTGAAAAGGAACTTGTGTACACATTGGGCGTGCCAGTTTCTGTGGCTGCTTCCTAGGGATGTGCCTTGTTAGCCTGGCTCTGGTGCAGCAGGGCATATATTCATGGATTCCACAGGACTTTACAAAGAGAAAAAATTACAAATAAGCTATTCCACCAAGGTACAGTTCAGAGGCAACAGATAGAAATGTCCAGTCTTTCCATGAAAGAAGCCCATTTCTTAAAATCTGTAGGTTTCTACTTTAATACACACTTAGGGGCTGAATACAATCCTCTCCACAGGTTGGAAAGGCCAGTAGATGCCTTTTTGTACTATCCCTCTGCCCACCATAAGTAACCATGTCTCAGAAAGGGAGCTTGTGCACCTGTTTGACATCCTGGCATTGGGGCTGCCACTCTGGAGGCTCATTCCTTGATAAAGTGGCTTTAGTGGCCAGTAGGGCTGTGCTCACATGCTCAACACAACATTAGCAAATAAAGAAACAGTTCTTAACTAGTTATCCCCTAAGGGCTCAGGGTGAACACAGAAAAGCCCACATCCTAGTCTTTCCACAAAAGAGGTACATTTTTATACCTTACGAGCTACTGCCTGAGAGTTTGGCTTCCAAATAGTCTGCATGTAGGTGCTGCCTGAGGGCTTCTCTTTCAGGATACTGACAGGTGTTGGCACATACTTAACTACTGGGAGCCACTAATAACCTGCTATGAAGAGCACAGAGGATTGAAAGAGAACTAAGAGCTAGGACAGGGTTGAATGACAAGGTTCATCTCCTACCTAAGATCAGTTCTTCAAGATGGGGGGAGATGGCTGTTTTGTACAGTGCAGAGAGTCAAGGAAATGAAGAAGTAGAGGAATATATTCCAAAGAAAGTCTTAAAAAAGATCTTAATGAAATGGTGATACTAATTGATGCAATAAATGGTTGAATATATGGTCATAAAGATGCTTCCCAAGGAGAGGAGAACAATGCAAAAATACAATGAGAATTTCAACAAAGAGATAGACCATATAAAAAAGTACCAAATAGAAATCCATATAAAAAAGTACCAAATAGAAATAAATGAGATGAAACATATAATAATTGAACTGAAAAATTCTATAGAGGGGTTCAAGAGCAGACTAGATGAAGTAGAAGATAAAATAAGGCAAAAAAAATAGCTAAAACTTAAAGACAAAGACAGAATCTTAAAAGCAAAACTCCCTTCAAAACTGCTAACCAAAAACACTCTACCTGCCAATAATTCCCTTTAGATATGTAGGAAAGAGTTCATCACCATTTATTTATAAGAAATGTTAAAGGGGCTTCTTCAGGTTGAAACAAAAGGGTACAAATTAGTACCAGGAAAATGTATGAAAGTATAAATCTTACAGGTGAAGTAAATATATAAAATTCAAAATAATCTAATGTTGTAGTGGTGGTGGGTTAATTGCTTAAATCTAGTATGAAGGTTTGAAGACAAAAGGAGTAAAAGTAACTACAAAAATGTGTTAAAGGATATGCGAGATAAAAAAGATTTACATTGTGACAGCAAAAAAAAAAAACATGGGAAGAACAAAAATGTACAACTTCAGAGTGCATTTGACTTTAAGTAGTTGTTCAACTTAGACTGTTATAAATATATTTTATCTATTTTAAGTTTCATGTTATAAATATATTTTATCTATTTTAAGTTCATGTTAACCACAAATAAAAATCTACTGTAGATATACAAAAGAGAAATTGAATTATTGCCCTACAGA